AAAAAAAAATAAGTTTAAAAACGATTTTATATATATGCTCAAAATATATACAAAATTTCTTGAAATTCTTTTCTTTCTCTACTTTCTATTAAAAAAAATAATGATTTTTTTCTTTCACAGTACCTATAGAAGATTAAAAACTTTAAAGTGATTATAAATAATAAATTATATATAAATTAAAGATCTTTTAAAGAAATAATTGAAATAGAAGTATAATATGTGCGTAAATTTTATTAGAAATACATGAATACAATTTATATAAAAAAAATTGGATCAAATTCACTAGTTAGAAAATATTTGTCAAGATTAAAAATTACTTAAAAAACCAAAAGTAGCTCCCCTGCTTTTAATAACATAAAAGTTTGAGTTTAAAAGCCAATCCAAACATACTCTTCTTGTGAATATCCAAAAGACCAAAAGAGGGAATTAATTCCTAAAGAACTTTGTTACAAGTTGATGATCCAGAAATAACTTGTACATTTGATGTGGTTGTTTGAACAGGAAGCAGCACCATTTTTCTCAGTTTAACATCGGTATGGCCAGTCAGTAGGTCTTTTTACTAAGCATCTCTAATTAGTCTATCTAATCGTTTCAGCTTCAATTTACTCAATTCGGTACATGTTGACCAACTTGTTATAATAACCTATTGATACGGCATGAGTTATGAAGCCTTCACCTGTGAAATGGCTGAACTCTAATGTGGTTCGTCTACTTGGATTTTCCCTAAAATAAACATCCACAAACGAATGAACCTCTGCGCTCCTAAAAATCATTTCTGTACAAGTAAGAGTTGATTCCTCTTCAAAATGAGGAATAAATGAAAGTTAGCAAATTGAAGCCGAGTGTCTGAGTGAAGGCATAATCTTGTCCAAACTATTAGTTTCTCTGTAGTAGTGCTGAAACTTAATGCTACCTTGTCTCTTAAGCTTGCTGGTTTGATAAATAGGCTGCATAATATGATATCTAGTCTCATTGTGGTCATATCAATGATGAGAACAGAATCAGATCCCATGTCCACATCTTTGAAACCATTTGTTATTCACCAATATATTCCACAGGAGCACTGCTTTTGTTTCTACCACATTGTTGGAACAATTCCCATAGTATTCTGAGTAGGCCATAATCATCTGCCCCTTGTCATCTCTAAGAACACCCCCTCCTCCGGCATTTCCTGGGTTCTCTTTGCTACATCAAGTTCAAATCTACCAGGGGTGGGCTTACTCCACCAAAGACATTTGATATTGATCCTCGGCTTGAGATTTTCAATTTGTAGGAGTGTGTTGTCCCATTATTTCTTTAGTTGGAGTTGTGGAAACTGGTAGTTCACTAGCATTATGACCTTCTTGATGATAGCATGGAGAGGATTTGATGTCCTCATTTTTATGATTACATCTAGCTTTCAAGATTTACCTACAGAGGAAGGCACTGAATAAGTCGCGTATGAACGTTGTTATTAGTACTATTCACCCACCATTTTATAATAGTTTCTCTTATTCTTCCATGTTCATTGACAAGTTTAAAAGAACTTCCAGATAGCTTCTGCCAGGTCTCCTTCTTTGACACATTCTCGGTGCTTCCATAGTAAGACTGACCCCACCCTCCAAGGATGCAGGATCCCAAAAGCCTTACTTCTCAATTGCCTCTCACCCCGAGACTGATGGACAAACTGAGGTGGTCAATAGATGTTTGGAATGTTACCTAAGGTGCATGACATTTGAGAAACCAAATGAGTGGCCTCACTGGTTGGCACCAGCTGAATGGTAGTACACCTCTTTCCACTTTGCCATTGGGAGGACTTCATATGAGGTTGTGTATGACCATAAACCTCTCCCTTCCTTCCCTACATGTCCTTTGACTCTCAACTGGATCTAGTGGATAGATGAATCCAGGCTAGGGAGGCCACCTTGAGGGAATTTAAAGTTTCATCTGCATAGGGCTCAGAGCAGGATGGAATCTCAAGTAGATAAAAGCAGAACTGACAGGTCTTATTCAGTAGGAGATTGGGTCTATGCGAAACTTCAACCTTCCAGGCAATTTTCTTCAAAATCTCACACTTTTCACAAACTCTGAGCAACAATTTTGGACCTTTCCAGATCATTTCCGGGGGGTGTTGTTGCTTTACCTTGGACTTGCCTAAAGATTCTAAGGTTCACCCCACATTTCACATATCTTAGATAATGAAGAAGTTAGGCTCTCAGATTGCTTCTGTCACCTTGCCAGTGGTATATTTAGAAGCTGGCCATATCATTTTGGTGCCTAAGAAGGTTCTCGACAGGAGGTTGATCAAGAGGAAAGGTCGCCCTGTGACTCAACTCCTTGTCAAATGGCTTAATGCAGCAGTGGAGGACAACATGTGGGAGGATTTCATCACTTGTAGCCATCAATTTCCTCAATTCTATCCTTGACGACATGGATTGTCTAATGTGGGAGGCATTGTAACGAGTCACTTGGATTGGAATCCTATTTTAGCTATTTATTACACTGTAATTAGGGAGTAGCATGTGACTCGCGCGTGTTCAAGGAAGTTGTTAAAAGTCGTTAGAAAGTTAGGCCGTTATAACTAACTTCTAGAAGGACGAGTTCCTTCTGTCAGTTACTTTCCATTCTTTTCCTTTATAAGCAACAATCCTCTGATTATAAAAGTTAGTTGGAAAATTCAATAGAAATCTCTTTCTCACTTATCTCAATTCTCTTGTTTATCTTGTAGGGCTTAACTGTTCAAGAGAGACCTTGCTCTTTAGGTAAACTTTGCTCAATTCTCTTTCTAATTTTGTGTGGGTGTCATCAGCTTTCTTGTTTTTTTTTCTTCTCACTTTTATTTTCTTTACCGTAACAATTTTGTTAACTCTGCTAGCATGAGGATGAAAGTTGTACAATTAGATTAATTAAAGGTTAAATGTGCTTAGTCAAACAATATAGGATCCAAAATCACAATAACCTAATGACTCTGAACCAAAAGTAGGTATAAAAAGAAACACAATAAAGGCAAGTTGAGCCCTATCGTAGTCTTAACCAAAATTAATTATTGTATCAAATTTTGATTTTTTACTATTTATGTCTTCATCACAGAGAATTGATTCCTCAAATACTGTCTTAGTTTCTACTGCTTTTTTTTCTTGTGATTGTTGTGATACAGTGAAAAGTTCATAATTCACAAATTACTTATCCATGTTCCAAGTACCTTTAATGAATATAATCTAAAGCAGAGATTTGGTTCTACGAACAGGAAGCAACATCATTTATCTCAAGCTGCGAAGTTCAAACTCAGTCGTTCATTCATCTGGTCTGAGCTACTACATTTTGCTACAACATTTGCTATTTATATTTAATTAGTGTATCAAATAGACTGCATATATGTTTTCAGCTTCAATTTGTGTTGCTCAAATCGGTACGTTATTGTAATGTTTACCAGCTTGTTATAATTTTATGTGCTAAATGTGTAAATATGTAACAAAGGGAACAAATCATGTGATATAACATAACCTATTGATGCTATAGCTCTTAAACCAATATAATTCCCACTCTTTAAGTATCCATACCTGAATCAGATTTGATACCTCCTATCTCATCAAGTCGATGATCATTTGTGGTGCTGATGATTGGTAAAAGGTACAGTTGTGATCAATCCAATTATGTATATCCCAAGATCTTGTTGTGAGGTTCAGGATTTCCAGATTTATTGTGGAACAAGCTTACTACTTTATAAGAACCTGTGAAATGGCCGAACATGAGCCTGTAGTTCTCCTGCATGCATGAAGCCAATTGTACCAAGAGTCACTCTAATGTGGCTCCGTGTACTTCAATTTTATGCCAACCAGACCTCCATTTCCCCTAATCTTGGCAAGGACCAAACTATTACAGGCAGCGAAAAATGCACTCTATGTTTCTCAATTTATTTGGCAATACAAATATTACGGACTTTGCTGCTGTGGATTTCCCACAGATGGAAATAACATTCGTTCTTATCTGAAAGTGGTTGAAAAGGTAACCGTATGTTTTCCTCGTGAAAGGAATTTTCAGCTATCTCAAATTGATGAAAGCGTGCTTCAACAAAAGTCGGACTGTTGATCATGTTTTGAAGCGGCTTGCAGTTGGCAGAGAATTTCAGCTGAAAGTAGAAGAAAAACCTTAAGAGCAAGTCATTAGGAAGCCAATTCGCCTTGGTCTCTACAGTGTCTTTCGTTTCTTGTTCTGTTTCCCTTAATGTTGTGCTTAATTTTAGCTGTTCAAGCGTGATTGCTTCTACGTATACTAATTTAAGACACCTTCTCCTCTTGGCCGTCCATCCCTTATAGAAAGTTGTAAGTTGAAAGTTAAATTACGATTTTTCCCCTATAGAAGTTCATTAAAATTAAAAACTATTTATCTAGATGAACATATGAATGGTTCATAATATATAAAAGGAGCAATAAATAAGACCAATTCTATTCTGACAAACTAAACTACCAGAGAGATAAAGTACCAACACTAACAAAAATGGACAAAATTGATGAAGAAATGAGTGATCAAGAAGTTTATAATCTTCAAAGGAGCATTCAAGAAAAAGGATACTACTCCTAAAAATAGATACAATCACTATAAACGGGAACGATATGCAAGGCGATGTATTTTGGCAAGGTCTCTCCCTAGAGACATACTCCTAGGTCACAACTCTGATGACCTTTTAACCACCATCCCACAAGCTTATACAAATATCACAATACACCATTCACTGCAATCAAATGTCGACCATGTCTTAATTCATCAACTAAATGTCCTACCAACGACGCTTCATGGCCCAAAGTTCACTATCACGCCAAAACCACACCCCTCACTAGAATCAACTCACAAATTTCCAACCCCACTACCACATGAATTGCAGACACAATTCCTCCATATCAGTTTCCGCAGATATTGGACCTCCCGCCATATGTCTCTGAAAACTCGGCGTTTCAACACCTAACCAACCCTCTAAAGCCCTTCAACCAAAAATACTACCCTTTGAACCCCCACCTTCTCACTACCTTCCCTTATGCAGTCCAAAACTACCAAAATTGAAACATAATTAATCAAATATCCTCACCTCTAAACGAAAACTCTGTTCCAAACCCAGTGGAGGAAGAGCTCACAAACAGCTTGATCAGGTTAGCAGCATTGCAAATTCAATTGATGACAACCTTCGAGTACTACATGCCTGCCTGCACTACTCAACACTCAGAGTATGCAACATCTTATTCTTATACACCAACTTACCAACTACAATGCAGAATATGAATCAAGATCAGGAAGCAAAGACAACACTAAGGATGATCAAGTGGTTTCTCAAGCAGTCTCGCTAGAGACATCGTCCCCTTCCACATCAGACCGGTCCATTAGACATGGATGTTCCAAGCATGGGGGAAGAGGTTCTAAGTATTCTCGATGAACCAGTCCATACCCTATGGATAAGGAACTCACTGGCGATATATAGACATGCCCGAAAATGTAGAAAATAGGTTCTTAAACAAAGTCCCAAAGAAAACTTCTCTAAACTTACCATATATTCTACGATTCACTGGCACTGAAGAAATATGTGGTGATTTTTTGTTCCTACAATCAGATAAATAAACTTGCCACAAACAAAGGAGAAATTTTACTACTACTTAGAATGCAAACCTGGACTTCGAATGAAGATCATTTTATTAACTAACAATAAACAATTTTAATTAGTGAGTTAGATATTTTATTTTTAAGTCGGCTAGTTGTGTATAAATAGAAGGCAGCAGTGTATTGTATAGTACATGGATGAAGAACATTTTCACTGTGATTCTCTCTCTCTTATTTTCATTTCATCTTCATCCTATCAAGCATAGTTTTAACAAAAACTCTATTGACTTCATAATACAATGGAAATTATTGACTTGGGATTTACCGGTCAAAAGTTTACCCGGACGAATAAGCATAAAAATAAAAATATTTTTCTAACGGTAAAATAGCGATTTGTTTTGACGGTGTTAAGCAAAATGCTCGAGCAGCGATATTGTACAATTTTATTTCTATTTTGAAATCGCTGGCTTGGCATCGATTTTTGTTGTTTATTTTTTTTTAACAAATCGTTGCCAAGGCAACGATTTTACTGAAATTTTATTTTTTTTACTTTTTAATTGTGTATGTTAAATCATTGCATTTACAGCGATTTTAGTGAATTTTTTTTTTAATTATGAATTGTAAATTACTGCATGATTTTAGTTAAATTTTTTTAGTAAATTGCTGGAAAGGCAGCTATTTTAGCTTTTTTTATAAAAAAAAAATTGTGTAGTAAATCGCTGGCTTTGCAGCGATTTACAACACAATTTACTAAAAAAATTAACTAAAATGATGCAGCTATTTACAATTAATAATTAAAAAAAAACAAACTTCATCAAAATCGCTGCAAATGTAGCAATTGAGAATACACAAATAAAAAATTAAAATTTCACTAAAATCGCTGCCTTTTGGCAGCGATTTGTTAAAAAAAAACTTACAAGAAACAATAACAAAAATCGTTGCCAAGGCAGCGATTTCAAAATAAAATAAAAATTGTGCAATACCGCTGCTTGAGCAGCGATTTTGCTTAACGCCGTCAAAATAAATCGAGCGATTTTACCGTTTTGGTTAGAAATTTTTTTTGATATACTCTAATTGGAATTTTTGTCAACTTTTTTTGCCCTTTAGGCTCCGAACTCTAGGTTTATCATTCATATTATGAATGTGTTTCATTATGTAACGATGGAGAACGATACAATTTATCCAAACATTATTTTCATTAAAACAAAACAGTACAATACATTATGAAATAACACATAACAACTATCTAAACAAAGTTTTGTGCATCCACATTGATATCGAGAATTGGTAAGCTTAACAACCCTTTCTTGACTGGTGAGTGGAACAATCATATAAATTAGTTAGTCCTAATATATGTTATTTGATTTTTGGCACAAGAACCGTAAAACATCTTGGTGCCTCGCTTCTATAACGGTTTCAACTGAAAATGATAACGACGAATTTGGTATGATTTTATTTAGTATAGCGGATCGTGTTTGGGTTAAAAAAAAGAAAGAGAGAATCTGTTGACCGTATGGTATAACAGAGGCTAAAATTAGCTATTAAATAAATGTTGAGGGGTCCCTGCACTCTTCATTATTTGACAAATGCTTAACGCAACAATCGACATTTTATCCATGTGGAAATTTCACTTATTTGACATAAATCTTTTATTGACATGGAACCAAATTATAAGCAGAAAAACATTGGAAAAACACCTTCAAAACATAGACATTGAAATTCCAAACACGTTGATAATGAATTGCTTATTCCAAAAAGGGCCACTTCACACTCATCATTTAAAGATTATCAATTGAGACACTACAGTTTTTCAACTAACAAAGATGTGGAGAAGGCAGCCTAAAAACTACTGTCCAAAAAAGGTAGATTAGAAAAAGTTGAGCATTAATAGGCAAAATTTAGAGTGTGTCTTTATTGTCTCTGCATTGATATTTCGCTAGCAGGCGATTTCAAGAACCCTGGCTGAATTTCCGGCCAGTCATCTTCTCAGATTCATGCAGCATGTGATTTATAAGCCCCCTCGCGGCACTGAAATACCATATGAAAACAATGGAATGCATCCAATCAGAAGGTGGTTCATGATGTGAACTGGCTCCAAGTTATATAATCGTTTGAAAATTCCCACCAGTTTGGAAGGACATCCATTTTATTGAAAACAATAAAAGCAAAAACAACAAGATGGAATGAGCTTACTCATCCTTTAATTTCTGAATTTTATCTGGATCAGTCTCATGCATATGCTTTTTGAACTGCTGTCTCACCATACCAACAAGAAGCTGTGTGTTATGTTGCTGCAAATTAGGGACAGACAACGATATAAGTAGCTACTTCTCAAAAGACAGTCAAACATATCTGAAATATTGTAAACACAGTGACAGTTCCATGCAATAGAATAAAAAACAAGCCTATCTCTTGCACCAGTTCTTTTGGTTCTACAATTTTTCACATAATTTTTTTATTATTTTGATCAAGCAATTTTTCACATAGTAGGTTCTATCAAGCCCAACATCCAGTTAAAACTCCAAGGTTTTATGTTAGGAGGAGCAGTTTTTTAACATGTAAAAAAGACAAATATATGACAACTTGCATTCTTGTCTTTTGGGGGGGAGGAGGAGGTGTTGGATTGGGGGTGCGAAATTGTCGCAGCACTTCTCAAAACTGTACATCTTTTGCTGATGTAAGTAAAACTGAGCAATATATAAAAAGGACTTAAAGACCATGGGGTTCACTCGAGGGTGTGAGGAAGGGAAATGTGTCATAAAGTTCATTGGTGACTTAAGATGGAAGTGAAGAAATTTATACCTAACAGAATCTCTACCTGAGATCACATCAACCACCTTAATCATGCATTTGAGTTTTAAGGACCACATGAAAGGATAATCAAACCTAAGTGAATCGTAGGCAAAATAAGACTGAAAAACTTTAACAACAACAAGCAACACAACTGATATAATTTTAGAGCAGCATAAAGAAAAACTTACCTTACTGCCAATGTATTTTGCTCGTCGTAGACACTCTCGATAAAGCTAAGAGAGAATAGCAAAAAGAAACAAATGCATACTTAAATCACTTTGAAAGCAATTCTAGCGGCTGCATATATGCAAATAGCTAACAATAAAATGATACTTACTCGGATGGCGTTGTTGGCAAGTTCAGGGGGTAATGCTGTTTGGAGAGATGGCATTGTGCAACGCAATTCAAACGGTTCCTATAGAAAAAAGAAGAGATGTAAACCCTGTTTGAATGAGGGGATTTGTTTTTTCAAGATTGATTCCAATCAAATGAATTCAAATCTGCATGACTGAAATACTTGAAATTGGAAACTAAAATGTATTAACTAACAATTTGCACACCTAACATTTTATTGTTGTGGAAAGGAAAAATATATACTTGGAAGTCTTACATGACTATGACATAAAATTACATGTTGTGGAAGTACTAACTTCTCAAAAGTTCTCAACTGTTCGTCCAAAATTAGTTCTAACTTGATCAACCAAACAATTGCCCCAATCGTTGTTCTATTATTTTTGAGGGAGGGATCATGGATCAAATTGGAAGTCAAATTTGTTACTACTACAGAAGGATGAGTTTCAGGTTAAAAAACTTGATTATCAGTCATTTTATCAAACATCGTGGGTGGATTATCAGGTAGATTTTGAAATTCACAAGCCCAAATATTCCATAAAAAGGGCCTGTTTTAACAATATTAGTTAATCAATTAACTAAACTTCAATCCTGAACTAATCAAGCCAGCTGTCGAAATTCTCTACCACTATTAGAAGGTTCACCAAGTTAAAACTATTTACACCATCGACCAAACATAACCCTCTTCATAACATCTGAGTTCTGGACCGGAGACTTAGTGAAACTAGCATAGGAAAAACTACCTGTTTCAAAAATGAACCAAACCATATCCAAAGAATGCCACAATGATTAAGTTTTTAGTACATGTTATGGTGGAAGGTGAATGTGAGGAACAACAAACACAGTTTCTGAGTATAAATTCTAAGCAAACACACATATAGAGACACAAAACTGGAGTAAAAAGATTCAATTGGTACTAGTTTTGGAAATTAGACAAGTTCTAACAGATAATCAAATCATCTGTTTTTCTTGATAGCAGAAGAGGAGAGAGGGGAGAAAACAAATAGAAGAAACATACAGTGGCTTTATCGGAGAAAGAAGCAACAGAGTCTTGGTACTATCAATAGGAGTTCATCAAATTAAAGAAGGTGCAATTGAAGAGGAATGTCAATTTGGACATTCTCACCAGTCAGATTGGGTTATTAAAACATGAAAGATTAACTAGGAATCTTGGACACAGCCCAAATTATTCTCATACTGAGTAACACTAGTTTCGGTATTCCAGTAGTACAATAAACCAGCACTACAATCAATCAAGCCCTTCCAAGATTGCGATAAAGTTGAATCATCTGGTGCATAACAAAGTCCTAAGGAATCCATAACAGCATCAACAGTTTCCATACTTAAGCTACCTAAGGCGATTCATGAAAAAAGTCATATTTATTGACCAGATACAATGACAAGCAAAGGGCACTGTAGTACGGAGAAAACGAGACTATGCTAACAAGAATACGATTATCAAGTAAATCAGATAATAACTACACAGATTCCCAATGAAAACAATCCGAAGTCCAACCCAGATTGCTATTCCACAAGGGCATAAAAATTCCAGATGACAGAATATGTCTATCGAGTTGAAGTGCAAAGACATTTCTAGCATTCTCAACCCCAAATCAGCTATGAATGATCCACTTGTAATGTTAACACCTTAACTACCAAGATAGGGAACCGATATCCATGAATCTATTTCTTTAGCTTCAAGTCAATCAACTTTACAAGCCTCCCCCCTCCCTTTTTTTCTTTTCCAACAACTCAAAAACCAAAATCAGAAACAAAAACAATATGAACAGTGTAAACTCATAGTCCGACAACCAGGAAAAAAATAACTTCGCTAATCTTTTCTAAAGATTCTTGAAATTAGTCGTTGGAGCTAAACAGACCATGCAAACTGAATTGGAAGGTCAATATGAAAGACAAGGCATCAAATAAACAAAATTTGCTGTATTAAGATACTCAAAGATAGAAGAATATCCCAAACACAGCACTTGAAGCAAAAAAAAAAATCTTTAGTGAACCACCAAATCTAAATATCCCAACTAGTTTTATGCATAACATAGGACTCTTACTTCATTACACAAGCAAAAACACGCACAAACAGATGCAAGTACTTGACTACAACAACAAAATTGATCTGCAGAAATCAAACCTTAGCTGAATTTTATTGTGCGTTGAGCTCTGCTTTTGTATCAGCGGGAGTGAAAAGGTGCTGACTGTAGAGGATTGGATGCTAAATTTGAAGGTTAGGGTTCAGATCTCTCAAGAAGAGAATTGCCTACTTGCTGGACAAGAGGATTGGATGCTTAATTTGAAAGTTAGGGTTCAGATCTTTCAAGAAGAGAATTGCCTACTTTCTGGAGCATTAGTTAAATATGGACCTTCTGCGATGTTGGCTAGAATAGTGTAGAAAATAGGTGGGTTGGATCAGATATGGGCAGATTAAAATGAGTTGGATAAAAATGGTTACATTATCCAATCCGCTCATACTTAAGATGGATATAAAATGGGTTGAAATTGTAAAACACCAGAATATAAGAATACCAAGCGACCTTGTTAGGTGCATTTTGATTCTTTGCCAGATCCAAATAAAGATCCCAACTTCTTTTTGGAATCAATGGCACTGTTAAGTGTAAACTATTATTCAATGCAAAAGCTGAGCAAAACTTGTAGTTTTACACAAATCATAAACATAATCATCTAGCAATTCGACTTTGAACACTTATCTAAATGGGTATTCAATTATGTTATTCCATTCAACCATGAATCCACCTTATAATCATGACCACACTAATTACACTTTGCTCTATCAACTCTGTTAGCATCTTTGAACTTCTAAAAATGTTCCCAAGCACTTGGTCTAGATTGTATGGTTTCTCTTTTCTTTGTACCTATACTAGTAGTATCAACCAAATTTGTAGGTGAAGCAGTAAGTCCACTTTCAGTTAAACCCACCTCATTTACTCTAATTTCAAGTTCTGTCATCTATGAAAAATTGAATGAAAAGAGAATTAAAAAATGCAAACAGATATAGAGATTATAAATTCAACATTGGGATATCTAATTCATCTAATGCTTTCTAGTTTCTATGCCAAAAAACTCACAAGAATATAGAGTAATCATCCATCCAATCAATGCTTATACATTCCAATTTTTAGGCATACATGTAGTAAACTGAAAGAAGGCAGAATCTCAGTGTTCAGTGTTCATTGATTCGATTAATCCTCATTAAGCATGAAAGGAGGCAGAATCATAGCCGAAACCGCAATTTCAAAGTGTCAGAAGTACATCCAGATTCGAGTAATGTATTTCAACAATCAATAAATGAACAGAAACTCAAACATGTGAATAATCGAACTCAAGGATTCAAGCCTTTCAACAAGCAGAAATTGAACTCAGTACCCACGATTTCAAAGCATAAATCATGAGTAGTATTTATTTAACCTAAGGACATGGAAGTCGAAACTTCAGATTCAGAGATACAAATTGAATTCACAGCTTCAACAAGCGAAAACACGCTTTGATTAGTCTGGATTTAGTTATGGCGATTTGTTTTCAACAGATATTTCTCAATCTTCAGTTATTTCTTTTGAAGGAAAAAGAATTAAACAATGATGAAATTTACCTCACAGATGAAGACGACGAGCAGCGGCGACGGCAATCGGCGGCAGCGGGCAGATAGACTCTCAGCAAAGCAAGATGAATATTTTGAAAAATGGGACCTTTTGGAACCCCCGTCTAAAGTCTCAACTCAAAAGGCCACATTTTTTGTGAAAGATAATACAAAATAATTCAATTATTAAATTATATTGGTTTAAATTTAAATTATGATGGATGAATTAGAATGAAATTAGTTATGATAAAATTATTTTTATTGAGCATTTAATTTGTTATATTCAAAATAATAAGAATAATTTATTTGTTTATAAAAATATTCTTTGTGAATGTAAAAAGTGATGTAGCAAAAGAATTGAAAGAGACAATTTTGTCGTTTACTTATTTTATTCGGGATAAGTTATCTTGAGATTACTCTACCATCCAAAGGGAAAGATAACTTATCATGATACGAATTATTGATTTCGGAATAAGTTATTCCGGACTTGCCCACCAAACAACAAATTAAGTGGTACTATAATTTAATCCCAGGACTATTTGAATATTATCCTTCACACCAAATGATCCCTTAGTTTGTTGTTTGGTTGACAAGTTCGGGATAACTTCGAAATTAATAATTAGTACTATAACAAGTTATCTCTCTCTTTGGGTGGTATAGTAATTCCCGTATAACTTATCTCGGGATAAAATAAGTAAATAACAAAATGTCTCTTTTAACCCTTTTGTTACATCACTCTTTACATTCACGAAGGATATTTTTGTAAACATATAAATTATTCTTAAAATATATTATTTTGAATACAACAAATCAAATGCTCAATAAAAATAAAATCATCATAATTTGTTCCATCATAATTAATCACATCATAACTTGAAACTACCCCTAAGGAGTCATTTGGTACAAGGATAAATGGATAACTAATTTTTAGATTAATTTTAGCATGAATTTATTATATATTTAGTTATGATAATATTACGGAATAACTTATATCGAAACTAATTATTTTAAAATTATAATATTCTAATTGTTCTACATTAAAGGTCAATAATAATTCTAAAATAATTCATCTAAAATAACTTGTTCCTCGATTAAATAAGCCCTAAGGGGGTGTTTGCGTTGTGAGGAAAAATATATAATTGTATAATATTGTGTATACCTTTATATATATATATATAATGAGGTATTGAATACATAATTTAGACGTTATAAAATTTATCAAATTAGAAATATATGAGTCGCCCAATAGGTACTTATCACATGTAACTTGTAAATATATATTTGTCCTCTTCATTATTTTATTTTTTAAGATGCGTAAATGAATGATAATGAATAAAATAAAAAAGGATTTTTATAATTATCACTCATTATGCTATTTAAAAAAATAAAAATCTTATCAAAATCATTATTAGTCAAAGTAAACACGGAAATGAAGTGACCAAAACCTCAAAATAAGATTGCAAAAGACATAGCAAAATAATTTTGGTGTGAAGAATTGTTTCGCTTAACTGATACTCAATCAGTATCATATATTAGTGTATTGGTATCATTAAGGATGATAATTAAGTGAAATTATCAATTTTAATGATACAATTACCATATATGATAAATTTAGTATAAGTTAAACGAAAATTATCAGCATTAATGATGCTGGTACAATATATGATATTGATTTAGTATAAGTTAAGCGAAAATTATCGAACCCTAATGATACCAATATATTATAGAATACTGATTCAGAAGCGAAAATTATCAATCTTATTGCATGAGGTATGAGTTGTAATTATTCATAACAAAATAGATTTCAGAAATTACTTTTGAATTTGGATTTATGAATTTATAATTATTTAAATTTTATAACCCATTTATCTTAGTTTTCCCTTGAATCTATCCGATTTCTTCTTTAAATAAAGTAACAACAATTAAATTAAATTAAATTCTTATACACCTCAATAATTTACTCCTAAAAGAAGAGTCCAATCCTTACAAGACTCCATTATTAGAAAAAAGAAAAAAAGACAAAAAAAGCTGAGTTTAAATATAAATATTTTTAGCTCAGTTTAATTAATAATAATGTTGGGATGGAAGAGGGATAATGCAAGTTCTTTCTAAAGCTTATATTAAGTCTAGATTAACGATTTTAAATATGGATATAAACCAACATATTCATTGTAATTTTTATAAAGAGATTTAGAGGACTTAAAAGATAGAGTGTACATTAACATGATCTTTACTTCAAAAATAAAGTAACTATTTCTAATAGAACGCTTTGGTCGGCTAAAAAAAAAGATCCAAAAAAGAAACAATGAAAGTAGGGAAAAGAGAGTTACTTTATGCTAGCAAGTTGCTAATTCATATTAATACCTTTCATGTCAAGCTAATGATTTTAAACAGTATTACACACAATCATACATGAATAAAAAAAAATTAGAAAGTGTTAAATGACAAAGAATTTGATCAGAATTTGGTTAAAAGATTAAAAAGATAATAATATTCTTTTATTTGAAAAAAATAATTTCTTTTCCCATTTTTTTAGGTAAAATGTATTAGAGTTAAAAGGATAAATATATTTAAAAAGATAAAATAACGTAGAAAAGTATCACCAAAATTTCTGGCCAAAAAAACTTTTTTTCCAGAAGAAGAAGAAGAAAGAACAAAACAAATCCCAAGTTATATTTTTCTTTGACAGAAATCCCAAGTTCTTATAGAACTAATTATTAGCCTTATAATATGATGAATTGATGATCATCAAAAAAGAAGAAGAAGGAACGAAACAGAGATTTTTAAGGATGGAAATTAATATATATTATCATATTATATAATGATACATGCATACATACAAATATTATAATAAAACATAGAGACCTATATATATATATATCCTAGCTATATATAATAACAAATTCTAAACACAAAAAAAAAATATTATTATGGCATTATGCCACAATTAATATTTAGTAGCATATATAACTAGATAAAACACGATTTAGCGACAGACAAATTCAGTAGCTTAATGATAAAATCCACTGGCTAAAGTTATTTAGCAATAGATTATCAAAAAACTATGGATAATTTGGTAGGTAATTCCAGTTAAAGACCACTAGAACCAATCAATTTAGTCAAGCCATAAGTTATAGCCATGGCCAACCAACCTCCAAACAAAACCCTAGCAGATGACTTGATTGCTGGTGCTTTTCCCAACACAGCACCTAACCATCCAAACACCATTAAAGCTATGGTGACAGCAGCAACAACAGCTCCAATTCTCACTTTGTAATCTCTTATAAAAGATGCAGCCAGTAATGGCACAATTGCACCTACTGAAAATGCTAGAGCTGATGCTGCTGCTGCTTGTGCTGGATTAGGCAAGTCATTTTTTTCGTCCTCGTGATCTCCTTGGATTTTATTTCTTCTCTTATTATCTCTCTTCATTTGAGCAATTTCAATATCGAGCTGAGAATAAACGGACACAAATTCTCCTATAGCCATAGAACATGCGCCGGCCACTAGGCCGGCGAATCCAGTAAGGATCATGACTTTTATGTCCTTTTTGACAGCACCAATTCCCATCATTAATGATGCGGTTGAAACCAACCCATCATTGGCTCCGAGCACAGCTGCTCGGAGCCACTGAGAACGTTTTGAGTAATCAAACTCTTTTTCTTCAACTTGTTGATGATCTAGGCTTATTTGTTGTTGCTCCATATCAGGATTCATAGAGAGAGTGAACTTTGATTCTTGTTGAGTGTTATTACTTTCTTCATTTGATGCCATAGTTTTTTTTAGTTTGTTTTTTTTTTGGATGAAAATGTGAATAAAAATGAATTGGAAATAACTAATTTATAGTAGAAGAAGAGTGAAGAACAAGTAGTTGATTGTGCTTGACACACGCCAATAATGTAGTAGTGGAGGAAAATGTGAGGACTTTTCTTCTTCTTTTTTTCTCCTAACCACTGTCCGAAACTCATATTAAAGCTCTAACTAAACGTATTCAGATTTTGTACTGCAAAGCTTATTTGGAAATAGAAAAATTAAAGGTAAAGTACTCTATAAGTACATCACAGATCATGTTGGTAATATGTGGGGACTTGTATGAGCACTAACATATAAATTAGTTATTTCCAATTCATTTTTATTTACATTTTTCATCCAACTATTTACATTTTTTTTCTTTTTCTTTTTCTTTTATTCTTACGATGGAGTCTTGCAAGGATTGGACTCTACCTTTTGGAGTAAATTATTGAGGTTTATAAGAATTTAATTTAATTTAGTTGTTGCTATAAAAATTTGCATGTTACTTTATATAAAGAAGAATGAAAGAAGGGTTTACTTTTTCTTTTTTTTCCAAAAGAAAGTCCTTTTAAGGAAATAGTTAAACTGTTGTCCTTAAATTTTTTTTTTATCATTTCTAGTTCACACAACATCTACAAAAAGACCAAAATTGCTGCTGAAATTAATGATAAAATGTTTGTAACGATATTTAACTTATTCATAACTAGAAAGAGATCTTTAGGGAGAAAAAAGAGGGGAAAAAACTAAAGATCAAATAACATAGAAAAAATATTATTTTGATCAATTTTTTTGGCCAATATTTTTTTTTCAAAATTAAAATCTTTAACATGAAAGAAGAAAATGGTTTTCTAATTTTTGTGCTAAGCTAGGGATTGATTAATCATTTATGTGATAAAAAAAGAGAAACTTTAAGGCATTGAGTTGCACCAAAATTAGAACGTCACCACGAATAAGGCATGACAAATAAAGATAAGAAAAAAAAGTCTTAAATAATGGAGAAGTTTTTAATGGAGAAGTTTTTATTGCCTTTTGTTCTCAATACTACTCTCTTGAGTTTTATGTCCATATATATTTTGAAGAGGACAATTATACATTTATATGTTACGTAACAAAAAAAAAAGTAATCGCTAAAGTTATTTTTTGAAACTCCCTTAGTTTGTTCTTTTGCGATCTTATTTTGAGGTTTTACTCACTTTATTTTCATATTTACTTTGACCAACATTAATTTTGGTAGGGTTTTTAATTTTTTTAAATAGCATAATGAGTGATAATGATTTTTTTGTTATTAATTATCACTTATTTAGGCACCTTGAAAGAACAAAATAATGAAGAGGACAAATATACACTTACAAGTTACATGTGATAAATACCTAGTGGGCAACACATATTTCCAATATGATAAAATTTATAACGTCTAAATTCTATTTCAATGCATCATATAAAAAGTAATGGCTAAAGTTATTTTTTCAAACTCCCTTAATTTGTTCTGTTGCGGGGTTGTTTCAGGTTTTATCCATTTTATTTATGTGTTACTTTGACCAAAGAGGCTCATAATTTTTATAAGGTATTATTTTTTTAAATAGCATAATGAGTGATAATGAATAAATTTCAATTTATATTTTATTTAATATCATTCATTTGCGCACATTAAAAAAATAAAATGATGAGAAACATCACTAAAATCATAAGCCCTTTTGATCAAAGTATATACAAACTGATTTGTTATTCAGCTCACCTATAAATATAAAAAAAAATTAATTGACCTTCATGAATTTTGTTATAGACATTTTCCTATTCCTAATTTTGGTGTAACTGAATGTCTTTAAGTTACTCTCTTTTTTCACAAAAACCAATCCCATAAAAATTAGAAAATCATTTAACTATTTCCTTAAAAGGACTTTCTTTCGAAGAAAAAAAGAAAAAGTAATCAAAGAAACCCTTCTTTCTTTCTTCTTTAAATAATAATAAAAAACAATACAAGATTTTTTACTAAATAAAGTATTCTTCTTTTTATTATATATTTTTTGAGAGTTGAGCAACTTTGTTTTAATGATAAGTATATATAACTATAAATAATTGCAAACTTTTAATTGTGAACAAATTTTACGATAAAAATATCTTTTAGCGATAATAAATATACATATTAATCGAAAATGTTAAAAACTTTATTGATATTAGTTAATTGTCATTTAATCAAATGTCTCTATAGACTTTTAGAAAAATTTATAAAGAATATAAATATTATTAAATATGCATATTTAATGATAATTAATTATCATTTATTAATTGTTCCCAAGTATATATTTGATGTAGCCAAGAGTATATTCTGTATTAAACTATTGTGAAATTAAGTGGAGAATCACGATTACTTTTTCTAGAAGTGGGATGAAAAAATAAAGAGAAATTTTGAAAAAAAAAAATTAATTAATGTATGATTTACACCAAAAAGTTGTCAAGTTTAGTCAGTGGAACCACGCAAGTTTAAATATCATTATTATAAAATTAAAGAAAATAATGATCCATATACTTCTTCGATTTTATTTTATTTGACCCCTAATCTAAAATATAGTTTTATCTTATTTACTTATTTTAGCAAATTAAGATCGTTTTAACATTATTATTTATAATATTATTCTTACTATTAAATAACTATATAAAATAGAATTAGTCAAATATCAAATCTCATTAATAAAGTTAATTAATAGCAGAAGAGGCTAAAAGAGGCTTTGGCTTATTAGTACCATTCAAAACTTTATTATTATGTATTTTCTTTCATTTTATATTATTTGTTATCAATTGACTTAGTACACTTATTTTGCTACTAATTAACTTTATTAATGAGATTTTATATTTGACTAATTCTATTTTATGTAGTTATTTAATAAGAATAAGGTTCCGGTTTCTTTTCATTTTCCCTAGTTCTAGTTTAGATTAGTGATACATGTTATAGTTAAGAACTATTGGTTGAAATCTAATTGATTAAAACGTCTTAAGCATAGTTATTTACTTTCAGATATTTACTTCTTAAATATTTTTGCAATCCAATAATTCTAGTTTGCATTATATTCTTCATAAATATATTTAAAAGAATTTCTTTTCTTAATTACTTGAGTAACTTTTTGCTGATTTTTTACTTTTTTACTTAACGTTTTCTCAAATAATATTTGTCAAATTAAAAATTAAAAATTGTGATCAATTGTTTTTTAATTTCAATTTTAGGAGTAAAATAAATTGTCACTCAACTTTAAATTATTTTTTACTCCCTAAATGGAGTCCGCATTGCTCTAATAGACATTGTAGCTCTTAATACTTTATTAGAATTATAAAAACATTTAATTGTATTATAATTTTTTTCCAAAAAACTAAAAATATTTAGTAAAGTTTTAAATATGTGTGTACTCAGTAAACAAAAGTTTTTAATATATTTAAGAAAAATAGAATGGATTGTAAAAATATGTAAAAAGTAAATAATTATTGTTACAATTTTATTTTAATCAATTAGATCTCAATAATTAATTCTAAACTATGATATGTATCTCCAATCCAAGCTAGAACTTAGGAACAATGGAAAAGAAAGAAATGAAGAGGAGCCGGATCCCTTCGATATTTGTACCCTAAATGGCTTCTATATATGATTTCACTCTCTCTACGTAAATAAAATATAATGTACCCTTTAAGAAATTAATTTTTTTTTAATTTTAAAATTAATACCTAAAATATTTTGTTTGTTATGCATTGATCTTTTCAGCTCCAATACCTTTTGATGGTTGTTGGGATTCTTTTAATAAGTACCTTCATTATTCAATGTGTGTGTATAGTTTACTTTGTTTTTAACAATTTATGACATTCAAATTAATTAGATTTTTTAAAGAAGCTATTGCTATTTAGAGAATTTTTTTTTAACTTAACATTATTTAAATGTGTTTTCCACCTACCCTAATTGAATGAATCATTATTTCTGCTATACTTCAAAATTTTACTCCTTGACTTATTATCATTATTATGTAAAATTCATACATTTTAAGTTAGTGCTGAAGAGTTAATTTCTTTTTGTATTTGTCAATCAATTTAACACAGGCTTAGAAATAAAATATAGTCAAATAAAAAAATATATTCAAATATGACCAAAAAAAATAAGAGACTTACCTCAGTTGTATCTTTTTTTTTTCTCATTTACTCCAAAGTTTTACTCCCTATTATTGACAAAAATATGAAGGAAGTTCAATTTTCAGCATTCTCACTATAAATCTAATGAATATATTCGCATATGATAGATGACACTTTGTAGATTAGATTGTAAATTTATTATAAAGTTTTTCTTTTTAAATTGTACTTCAATATAATTCATATATAAAAACACGTTTCATTATATAGATTTTATCAGAGAAAAAATATACAACTTTTTACAAATAAGTTATTTAAGAATTTTGTAGATAAAATTATTTTAGGTTGTTTATGACTTGCAAATTTGTTATGAACAATTTCTTCTTAATAGAATCTCTATGTAAAAATGCATTTAATTGTACAAATTTTATCAAAAAAGATATACACAAGTTTTTCACAAATTTGTTATTCAAGAATTTTGTAGATGAGATTATTTTTTAGTTTGCTTATAAGTTGTAAATTTGCTACAAAATTTTCCTTTTATATTTTACTTCATAGCATTCATATGTGAAAATGCATATCACTTTACAGACTTTATCAGAAAAAATATACATAATTTTTTTACAAATTTTTTATCCAAAAGCTTTACTACGTCTTTCATAATATCAAAGCAAATTTAAAGAAAATTGCTTCTATCTTCTCTCCATTTTATTCTCAACCATTCTCTTATTAATTTCTTCATAGTAACGAGAAATGTCACTAAAATCAATTGAACTTTTCAGAGAGAAAATTACTAAAGTAATCGATTTTAATTATTTTACAGTTTAGCATAGTTAGATTCAACATGAAAACAACCTCATTAACATCATATTTTATGGATATAGAAAGATATGGATTATAATCACTCTTAACTGAATTATTTTTTTTTAAATTAATAATAAGATAACTATTTTATGAAAGACTCACCTTTGTTTGAATAACGATAAAGATGCAATGACATGATCATCGTTTGACTGATAAAATCTCTTCAATACCAAAATGTGATGTTCTATTTGATCACTGCTTCAAATTTGAAGAATGCACTATGAATAAATTTGATTGTACGAAATGTTTTCAATTGCGAAGGGGCCTAAACAACATGACAGAAGAAACAAATGATAAATCTAGTTATTTAATCAGCTAAACAAATTATGAAATTTAATAAAGGTATTGTACATCTTCATGACTTGTGGTTGTAAATGTAAATGTGATCCTAAGTTATACAATCATAAAATAAATGAAGACAAGATGTTAATGCAATTTTAGTAGGCATGAGTGAGTTGATTGAGAAAATATTTTTAAAAAACTCAGTTTTAAAATTCTCAACACAAATTTAGTGAATATCTCCTCACATTATAAATAACAATTTGTTGATGAGATTATTTTTAGATTACTTGTGGATTATTATTTTTAATATTTAAGTCCATAACATTTTTGTATAGAAATACATTTCATTATGTAGATTTCATCAAAAATACAAAATTCTTTTACAAATTTGTTTCTCGTAGGTTCTAACATCTTTCATGGTATCAGAGAAAATTCAAAAAAAGTCCATTCTTCTTTTCTCGATTCTCTTCTCTATTACTTTCTTTTCAATCATTTCTTCATAGAAGTAAAAAATGAAATTAAACTTTTCTATTGAGTTTTAGGGTGAGAAAATCATTAATTATAATTATATTAACTATTTAACATATCTTATTCACATGAAAATAACATCATTTTTGATAAATCTAACAACAAAATTCAAATAGAAAATTTAAATTGATTTTACATACAAAAATTTAATTAATGATAAGATAATTATTCCGTAAGAAGATTCACCTTTTAGAAGATGCAACAACATAGTCACTGTTTGATTTTCTTCTGATAGAATTTTCTTAGAAATAGGATCTACTGCCTCACATCTTCAGATCTGTGAAGTAAAGTTTAAGAAAATATATCTTATTCACATGAAAATAACATCATTTTTGATAAATCTAACAACAAAATTCAAATAGAAAATTTAAATTGATTTTCAATTAAAAATTTAATTAATGATAAGATAATTATTTCGCAAGAAGACTCACCTTTGAGAAGATGCAAGGACATAGTCATTGCTTGATTTTCTTTTGATAGATTTTTTTTAGAAATAGGATCTACTGCCTCACATCTTCAGATCCGTGAAGTAAAGTTTAAGAAAAATATATCTTATTTACATGAAAATAACATCATTTTTGATAAATCTAACAACAAAATTCAAATAGAAAATTTAAATTGATTTTCAATAAAAAAAATTTAATTAATGATAAGATAATTATTCTGTAAGAAGACTCACCTTTGAGAAGATGCAACAACATAGTCACTGCTTGATTTTCTTTCGATAGAATTTTTTTAGAATTAGGATCTATTGCCTCACATCTTCAGATCTGTGAAGTAAAATTTAAAAGAATATATAAAAGTAGAATATACTGCATCACTACTTCAGATCTGTGAAATGATGTCTAAGAAAGATATTTAAAAGTAAGATCTATTGTATCACTGCTTCAGATCTATGAAATGATTTTTAAAAAAAAGTATATAAAATTAGGATCTATCATCTTACTGCTTTAGATCTATGATGATGTCTCAGGAAGATTTATAAAACTAAGATGCACTGTCTCACTACTTCAAATCTGTAAAATAATGTCTTGAAATATACAATAAAGTAAGATCTACCGTCTTACAGCTTCAGATCTGTAAAATGGTGTCTAAGAAAAATATACAAGTAAAATCTATTGTTTTCTTGCTTTGGATCTATGAAATCATGTCTAAGAAAGATATATAAAAGTAGGATCTACTCCTTCACTACTTCAAATTTGTGAAATGATGTACAAAAATATATAAGAAAAAACGAAGATCTACTTTTTTAGTGCCTCAGATCTATGAAATGACGTCTATGAAAAATCTATAAAAAAGAATTTACATTTTTTCTGGTTCTAATCTATGAAATAATGTCTAAGAATGATATATAAAAATATGATCTACTGTCTCATCACTTCAGATATGTGAAATGATGCCTAAAAGATATATAAAAATTGGATCTACTACATCAGAGTTTCAGATCGTAAAATAATGTCTAAGAAAGATATCTAAAAGTAGAATCTATTACCTCATTGTTTCAGATCTAAGCATCCCCTTGATATAAGAAATTTCAATTGCAAAGGGATATGAGCTACATGACACAAGAACAATCTTTAGACCTAATTATTTTAACAAGCTAAAAAAATTATAAAATTACATGTTTTGAACAATTTTATTACTTGTGATTGTGAATGTAAGTGTGACGCTAAGTCACACAATCAGAAAATGAATAAAGAAAAGAAGTTGATGCTATTTATAATAGGTTTGTGTGAGTTGATTGACAAAACATGAAGAAAGTTCAATCATCCGCATCCTCACGAAATATTTGGTGTATACCTCCTCACATGATAAATGAACATTGTAGATAAATTATTTTAAATTTTTTATAAGATTTAAATTTGTTACAATATTTATTTTACATTTTTGTCTATAGAATTTTTATATAAAAATGCATTTCATTGTATAGATTCTATCAGAGCATAATTTACAAAAAAAAAATAAATCTGTAAGGGTTTTATGATATCTTTCATGGTATCAGAGCAAATGTAAAGAAATTTTCATTTTTTCTCGATCATCTTCTTAGCTTCTTTTCTTTCATTCATTTGTTGGTAGTAGGGATATTTAAAATCAAACCAAAATCGATAATCCACACGAAAAAAGTTATTGATTTATCAATAATGAGTTATTGATTTAACATTTTTTATAACAATTTTAATTTTTTTGTTATTGGGTTATCAGTTCTTAACGGTTTGAGGTTTTTTCTTAATGGGTTAATCGATAACCCAATATCAAATTAAATTATTATATTTATACTATTTTGTATATAAAATTGTTGATTTAAAATTTTATTTTATAATGATCCCAAACGTCGTTATTCATGGAGAGCAAAACGTTAATAGTAACTGAAATCTACTCTCCCAACAGAGTAGGATTATGCCGACAAGGCGGTGGTGCTCCAGAGGAACAAGTATCTCTAGAGCAAGAGGGTCCGGGTAAAGGGTGGGGAGGGAGGGGGGTCAGAACTTAAATGAGGCAAAATCTTATTTTTTGCAGGTAAATTGTTTCATTGTCTGTGTGTATGTATATGAATAAAGAATGTGAATCATAAATAATGAAATGATTATGTGAATAATACATGTCATGAACATGTTACTTCATTGTATGACTATAAGTACTGTGCATTGTGGGTGTGATTGTGACTGTGGTTGTACTAACTGGATCGAGTGTCATGTTTTGATATATATATAGAATTTGGTGCCACATTTCGACATATATATTCTCGATCGAATATCATCTTCCGACACACATGTATATTGAATCGAGTGTCACATTTCAAAACACTAAAAATTTAGGTGTGGGTTCCATGAGAGAATCAATTGTGATGATTATGTTCATATCTAATTGACTTAAAAATTGAGAAAATTTTAGGTTTACCTAAAATGATTATTGAATTGTGTATATTTTATATGTATGTTTATCATATGGTAATTAAATGACTTAATCTAGTTAATTGAAATTGATTGTAAATGAGCGGGCCCACAGATATGTGATTTGGTTAGTAGAGATCGAGGATCCATGTATTATTACAGAATATGGTTAAAGGGGCTGTAAGTGTTCTTGAATAATAAGAAGTAGGGGTAGTGTTCATGGTCTAAATAATAATTAGATTTTACCTTGGATAGGAGATTCATATTTGAAACAGTTAGCAAACCTGGATAGGGTATAATGTGTAGTCAAGGGTTAATTTATGGTGCAAAAAAAAGTGAGGGTGTGTTGTGAGTGATTGGTCGGGTTTATAGTGATTGTATTCGAGAACTCATCCACGAGTTAGAACTATTAAGCTATGATTAAGAGCGAAGCGACTTAGGGGGTTAGAGTCAAGTGTTATGATATGCTTAAGGTATACGCTAATGGTAAATGTGGGAGGATAAAGGTTGAGAATGTACTTTCCTATAACATATTTCCTGCTGGTTGATTTCTTTATATTATGTGATGTGCATCGAGTTGACCGATGATGCCTACCAGTACCTGTGATACTGCTCTTACTATGTCTCTTGGCATAGTCTGATTGTAAGGTCAACAATATTTCAAAGGTGAAGACAAAGACAATCTCCAACAGCTTCTACTTTTCCTTTCATGTGGTGGAAGTTGTGTCGTTAGTTATCGATTTTATATATTGTAATCATAGAAGCTCTTGTACCTATTTAAATTAGGAGTGTGTTCGGGATGAAGGAAAACATTTCTCGAAAAATATCAATTTTCTCATGTTTGGTGGGCTAAAAGTTTTAAAAAAATTTCTAAATCAACTCATTCTCCTCAAAATTAAGGAAAATGATTTTCCCTTTAACAATTAAGGAAAATATTTTCCAAAACTTCCCTTCAACTTCAAATTACATTTTTTTTGTTGAAAAATATATTTTTAAAAAATATTTCCAACTTCAAATTTTTATTTTTTTCACCTCACCCCGCACCTACCCACGACCCACCCCTCCAAAAATATTAAGTTGTTTTTAAAAAATATTTTCAATTTCAAATTTTTATATTTTCCACCGTCCATGCCTAAAAAAATCTAAGTTTGTTTTTAAAAATATATTCCATTTTAAGTTTTATCCCCCTCAGCCAGCCCTCATAATTTCATTTTTTCACTCCTCCCCTCCCCTCCCCCCAAATTAAGTTTGTTTTAAAAAGATATTTTCAACTTCAAATTTTATTTTTTCATCCCTACCCTTGACCCTCCCCCCCCCTACTCCTAAACAACCCCATCTTACCTCCCAACCAAATTTTAATTTTGTTTTAAAAATGTTTTCAAAATTTTTTTTTTAAAAAAAATTACCCCTAACCCATACCACCACCATCCCTCCCAAAAAAAAAATTAAATTTATTTTCAAAAAATATTTTCAATTTCAAAAATTATTACTCTAGTAAAAATAAAAGATATTTCTCAAAAATATTTTTCGTTCATAAATCAAACACAAAACATACCCTAGATCTTTGGGGTGTTATTTATTCCGTAAATTTAACCTTGGTATGTTTGAAACTCTTTATTTTATAAAAATCTAGTGAAATTCCTTTTATATCCAGTTTTCTTAATATTTTGCATGTTGTTAACCATTTGGCAAGCAAGGGTTCTCCTACTTAGGTGTTAGAGTGGGTTCCCGCACGACTCGGTGATTGGGTCGTGACAGATTTTCTATTTTTATTTTTGCTTGTCTGAACTGTTGATTATTCTACAATATAAAAGTGTTTGCTTTTGAACAAGATGTAACTTATGAACTCATGTCCATGGTTCATTTGGTTTATCACCTCGTTTCTAAGTGATTTTCAATGATTTTTCTTGTCAAATCTTAACGGTTAAATTAATAACCGAACCGATGATATCAATAACCGATAAGTCAATATCTTAATGGTTTTATAAAGGATTAACATCTCTATAAATCGATAACCAATAAGTCAAATCGATAAACTTCAAAATCAAACCAAATCGATCGATATGCTTGCAAGAAATGACACCAAGACTCTCAGTTGAGTCTTTCGATAAGAAATTCACTGATGTTATTAGTTCTTGTCATCTTTACTACTTTGAAGACTTCATTTCCACACTAGAACAAACTTATTAATATCATTTTGATGGATATAACTAGGGGTGAACGTTCATTTCTTGTGTTCAGTTTTATCAAATTTTTGTTTGGTTCTTCAATTTTTTGATTTTAGAAAAGTGTTCATCGTATATCAAATTAAAGTAATCGATTCGGTTCTTTTTTTGTACTTCGGTTCGATTCAGTTCGAAGCTTTTAGATCGGTTTTTTGATGTGAATGAATGATAAAATGAGGATAAAATCAAAATATAAAATACTTAGAGTCTGTTTGGCTCAGCTTAAAAACTGGTCAAACTGACTTAAAAGCTGATTTTTGACTTATTTAGCTGTTTGGCAATACTCAATATAACTTATTTTAAGTTTAAAAAAACTTATTTTAAGCCAAAAGTTAAAAGGTGGGGTAGGGTGTTTTTTTTTTAGCTTATAAGCTGTTTTAAGTTGACCACATTTTTACCTTTTTGCCCTTAATATTTTTATACAATCTCCAAATTACCCACATAACCCTAACATCTCTTTCTTCCATTTTTCTCTTTTCACGTGTGGATGATAGACAATTACTATTACTAATGAATGAAAATAAAATAAATCTTAAATCTTTCAAGTGATCTATTTAAATTATATATTATTAAAATGTAAAATAAGTTGCGCATATAACTTAAATAAAAATTTATATTCCTCTTATAAATAATTTGTGATAATAAAGAAATATGCGAATGATAGACAATTATTATTACCTATGGATGAAACTAAAATAAAATCTTAAATCGTTCTTTGATCAATTCAAATTATAATCTTTAAAATCTATAATAAGTTTATATTCCTCTTATAAATAATTTGCGATGAGAAAGAAATATGTGAATGATAGCAAAATATAATTATTTATGGGTGTAAAATATAAATTAATTAACTTTTACTATGTTAACAACTTTTAAGGGCATTTCAGGCATTTTGATTTAAAAAGCTGTTTATAGCACTTATTTGCCAAACAGATCAACAAATTTTTTTTTAACTTCAACACTTTTATCCAAACACATAACTGCTTATTTTAAAAATAAGTTTCAACACTTTGAAAAGTGTTTTTTTAAAGCTACTTTTATTAAGCCCATCCAAACGGGCCCTTAGAAGTTGGAAAGTATGTTAAAGAATATTGTGTTGCCATGAAACACTTATTGTGCTAACTAAAATCCTATATTTATCTTTGTCAAGAATATCATGCATCCAACCACTTCTCGAAAAAACAAGGACGAAGATGAATTCTTTTACATAAGGTACATTGATAAATTTGATTCCTCTTGAAAATTAATATTTGACGTTAACTATTGAATTATACATTTCTTCGTTTGAATGTCTACTTTATACTATTTAAGAGATTTCTTATATTTAATTAGTTTTCTACATTCTCTCTCTAAAACTGAGTGATAAAAGTTCTCCTAGTTAGCTATTATAGTAGGTGTCCGCATAGATCGATAAATTGAATCATGACAAATAATTAAACTCATCAAACTCCAAATCTCTTTTTTCCAATCCCACCATGTAATTATTTTACTTACACTCAATCTTGAACCTTCATAGATCTTCTCGACCGTAAGTCAATTTTTAC